GGCCTGTGTGCTGCCTGAACTGCTCCTGCCTTTGCAAACGCAGCGCTGATACTTGACCTGTGATCTGACAAATACATTTTCCAGAACGAGAGAAGTTATTCGGCTGAATTTTTGATAACCCCGACCAGGCTCCAAATCTCCAAGAACACGTATTCTTACAACTCGGGCTTAAGCCATGGGCTCTTTAAGGGCACTGAAAAACCCAGATCATGTAGATGAGCATCATCTTCACACGGACTCAGCTGTTTGACACGCGTTGGACCAACAACGATTCCACCCTCAAACAATGCATCCTTTCATCAGGGTGAAATTCACCACCCCATCTTCTCCCTCCACCCCTCCAACGCTCAATAGCCAGATTATCTCAACGTCGGCGGGGAAACTTGGCCACTGCCATTGCCGGCGTGTACACTCAAATGCAGCGTTCAACACGCACTGCCATGGACATGTGGCCACACGTGCACAGGGTGCACCCCGCTGAATGTGTGACCCACAACGGGGGGAGCATACCCAAAGAGACACATCCTGTGCAGACACACAGTAACTCAAACAAAGTGTCGGATTCGGCGTTTTCCTGTCGCTGCGCTCTAGCCCCACTCGCTTTCCTCAGCTACGCAGACACAACATGGTCCCACGCCCAAAACAGACGCCTTAGCGTTTCAAAAAAGGAGACCCGTATAGACGCGGTGACTACGTGCGATACGGAGCCTCTTGCATCCGATGGTCACCAGATGGTAGCTGTCCTGGCTCTGTCTGCACCTCCTCCCTCCCCCCGTTGTTTTTGTTTTTCACATGTGCATTCAGGCCACGTGCTTTTGTGGCTTTTCCTAAAATAACACATCTTCTGTTGGCTCACAAGAGCTGTGAATTGTTTGTAGGAAGGCCACATGTGGTGCGTGCGCGGTGCAGATCTTATCAACAGAGAGACAACTAAGGATCGTGGCCGAGGGCGTCCTGTCTTGACGGAGTCAGTTTCCCTGTGCCCACATGTGTTCTCCAGATGGCTGCGCTCTAAATGTGCCCCTTCCCTCCACTGACCACGATGGGAATTCCAGGCAGCATTACTGTACATGGTTTTGGGCTTAATAGGCTGTGGCTTTTTTTTTTTTTTTTCACCACGTTCATCAGGCCGATCTTGACCCAGCAGGTGAGGTTTTGAGGAGAAGGCACTGGCTGCAGAAGGTTTTGGAAAATTTGGTACTGTTTCAATGCCTGTCACCGGAAGGCCAATGGAACTTTTCAAGAAAGTGAAGAAAGAGGAGAGACAACCCCTCCCGTCCTCGTGCCTTCGCTCTGAAAAGAGAGAGTCGTAAAACACGACCGGACACCTTGAGTCTTCTCTCTGTGAGCGCATGCCTTGGTTCACCGTCACTCAGACCCTCCATCAACCCCGCGGACAGCAGAGGCAAACGCAAAAAAAGAAATATATATGCACATACACACGCAGTCACTCTCAGGAGCACAGATACCATCAATGTCAGAGAGAGACGTGCAAAGGAAATGACAAAGGTGGTGGCGGCCTACTTATGTCCAAAAGGCCACGTGTCACAGATAAGGACACAAACCTTGGTGGTCACTTTGCCTCCTGAAGCCGGGCCACTCACCAATGTATCTTCTCGCCCCCCCCCTTCAGAATATTGGCCAGCTTTTTAGGGTGTTAGCAAAACAATATAAGCTGTGAACTTTTACTTGAGGCCCAGAATTATGGTCCAGGTTTAAATGTGTTAATACAGATATTCCTATTGAAGGCCCGGAACAGAGTGTCTCTGTCCACTGAAAAATGTTTGCTTACTCCACCCTCTACACCCTCACCACCTAGGAAGTAATGCAAGTAAGACGGAAGAGCATCTGTGAGTGTGTGTGTGTGTGTGTGTGTGTGTGTGTGTGTGTGAGGCTCCACACACACTGCGGCTCAGAGTCCACTGGACAAAGAGTTCACTGACATGTCACGTCACAAAAAGGTCCCTCTCTCAGCCCGTATACAGAAACAACAGTTTAGAGATGAAAGGAGGAAAAAAAGGGAAAGAAGTCTCTTCCTCGTCTGCTTGGCTTTGACCAACCTGGCTACATAGATCACCATCACAGAGGGTATGTGGGATGGCAGCTTCATCTCTCCGGGGCTCCGTCCAGCAAAGTCAGCGTGAACTCAACAGGTTTCACCAGAGAACACAGCAAGGGGTTATTATCTCCGATCCCTGGTCCAACCAATCTGTTTCCACTTGGAGCAAACACTCCCTGAACACCCTTCTTTGCTCACTCTCTCTACTCACCTCCTCCTGCAGTCTGCAGTGCACACCTGATCTGTTTGTGTGCGATTTAAATATTACAACCAAATCGCCACTAAAAACGTTTCTGTATCGACTACAACAACCGGCTTCAATTGCGTCAGAGCACACTGGTAGAGGAGCTGATGCGTGTCAGCTAATGCCGATTAGCAATTAGAAAAGGAATGGTTGGCATCGATTCTCCAAGAGAAAGGAGCTGGAGGAGCAAACTGCGGATTTGCGGTTTGACAGCGACCCAGAGACTTTGCTCACTGTGCGCTCTGTGCGAATATTTAAGAAGCAATGCGGAGCGCATCGGCAGGGCCACAGAAAGCAAATCATTATACCGAAACGGGAGTAACATATCTTCATTTGCTGCATTAACGGCTAACTGAGGAAACAAAAACAAACCCTCTACACCGCACACGTCACACAAACTCCAAAAGAAGGAGCCGATTCCGTCAGCCAGCTAGAGTTCAACAGAAACGAGTCGTAAAGAGCAATCACTTCCTCGCCACTTTCACCATCCATTAGTAAAGCTACTACTCTGCATTTTAAATGCCCCACAGCACTATCAATACAATTTATACCAGGAAGCTTGTGCCATTCCCTTGTGAGCAGAAATGAATGACAAATGGATTCGTCGGTATAGTGGCACTATGTAGTGGGTTCAACCAGAGATGTAGAGCCATTTGAACACATACAAAGCAGACTAAATGGGGTTTTATGGTGTGTGTGTGTGTGTGTGTGTGTGTGTGTGTGTGTGTGTGTGTACACACGGAATGTGTGCACGAGTAATGAATAAGATCCTGGCACATCACAACCGGGTTCCTTTAATGCACTCCCTGTGGACCAGAAGAAATAAACAGATAAAGATGAAGTGGACGTGAAAGCAATTGCAAAAAAAGAAAAGGGGGAGAGAGAGAGAGAGAAAAAGAGGGAAGGAGGAGAGGAGGGCGTTTTCAGCACTGTTATTGGAGCCGGAGAAGTCATTTTGACTTAAAGAGTTCCAGATGTGGGCAAGCCCCTGAGAAAGAAAGCGAGTCAGAGTGAAATCCAGGAGGAGGATTTATCAGACTGTACCCTTCCACATGATCAGTAGTCTACCGTCCCGTCCCCATCTGGTTTGAGAGCGGGATAAGCAGATATTTACTTTAGACTGATGGCTGTTGTGGCTTGGTGGGGGGAGTGGAAGGGGGGGGGGGGGGCTACATCAGCAGAAAGTCTGTGGAAAGTCAGGTTTAGGGTGTGGGGTGTCAGGTGGTCTGGGTATGTGGCCTGCACAGCCCGCTTCTTGGCCTATTAAAAGCTAAGGTGGTCAGAATAAGGGTCATTATTACACACACACGCTTTCAAAACAAAAGATTTAAAATAGGACCCAACCAAAAGGCATCCGGTTAAAAAGATCTGCACTTTAACTTATTTTGCAATGAAATGGCTCTACCTCAAGCACCTGGCCATATAATGGTCAGGTCCGACGCACCGGACTCTATTGTCGTTGCCACTTGCGGGCTTAACCGGAAGGCACATTGTGAAGAAACCAGTGCAGGCTGCACATTGACACGAAATGTATGGAACCAGTGAATGTGTGTGTCTGCGCATGCTGCCTGCCTTCTTTCAGATGGTGAATTGAACTCAAACTTCTTCTCCTTCACACACAGCCTAATGCTTGCTCAGAAAGGGGCCTCGCATGACATGTCATCAACAGGGATGCTGGGGCCCTGACATAATAGTCACCCCTCTCTCTCTCTCTCTCTCTCTCCTCTCTCTCTCTCTCTCTCTCTCTCTCTGTGTATAAGGATGTTTATACCCAGCTTCCACAGCTTTTGTTTTCAGTTCCTCTGTGTTGGGATAAGCTGCACGATCACACAACAAACAGCTATTGTGCTGAAGTGAAGAGCTCTGCTTTGGGGAGCTGGTAGCGAGCCACAAAACAAAGGCTGGTTACAATGTCCCTACACAAGCTCATGAATCAACTCAACACTGGGCTGCCAAAAGCAGCCACCGAATGGGTCTTCTGGGGCTTAACGAAGAGGGAAAGTAGAGTGAGCTGATAGAAGGAGGGATGTGAGGGTGGAGGAGGAGGAGCAGGATGTGCTGCTGGAGCTGGAAGAGAGGAGGACGAGACGGAAGATATGTGGGGATGGCGGATGGAAGAAGAGGAGGATTTTAAAGGAGTGCAGCTAAAACAGACACAGCTCTCTGTTTATGCTGAGTCAGCATAAACAGAGAGCTGTGTCAACATACAAGACTCCTGCCTGCGCCATGAGACGCTCTGCTCCCCGAATTGCAGCCTTAGAACAAGAGGGACATGTGTGGGCTCAATGGCAGGAATGGTGGATTGATGTTGTGACAATTGAAGTTGGAGGTTTAACTAAACAAAAACAAAAAAAAACTAATTTCAGCCATGGTTGGAAACTAAACACCTTCATTGTTTGTATCTGATGCCCCTGTTGTGTGTTTTCCTATTGTGATAAGTCAAATTAGCGACAGATCCGTCAAACGCTCAGGCACAAAGAGCTGCTTATTGTGTCCAGCAGCAGGCCACATTTCACCTTTTCCACGCGGTGAGGGAGTGGAAAGTGGTGGCAATGGAAGGAGTGTGTGAGGGAAGAAAAAGTTTGGGGTGTAAATTGACATCCATCACAACACACAGCAAAACTCACGCAATTAACTGGACAATGTGAGCTTCCTGTGCACCGAAAAGAAAAAGAAAAAAATTAGAAATATATTTACCATTGGCGTTCTTCCCACAGATCAGGTGCTCGTAGTGCTGCAGGACTCCCCAAAGTTCCGCGTCATTGTTCACTACCCCCTCCAGGGCTTCCGCGCTAACCGGGGCCCCTGCCAGCCACGACTCCGGGCCCGAATGACCCCTCTCGGCCATCAGCACCCGGGCTCCTATCTCCTCCACCAGCGCCTCCATGCATGCGGTCAGGCATATGGCCGCGTACTCGTGGATGCGCACGGAGATGCGGGTGTCCACCATCCACCGGAAGAAGCGTCCCACGGAGAAGGCGAGGCCGCAGCGGGAGGACTTGCCCTTCCTCAGCAGCTCCCCGGCGCTCATGCTGTACATGGAGATGGCCTTGACCGTGGCGGACACGCACTGGTCCGCCAGGGACCAGCTGAGCACCAGCCGCATGGCGCTCTGCACCTCGAAGCGCGTGCAGCGGCAGTGCATGACGCTGAGCCGCTGCGCCTCGCGGGAGACGCGGATGAGGGCCCGGCGGAGGAGAGCCGACAGCCGCCGCGCGGCCTCCGGGGAGAAGGCCGCCGCGTGGCCGCCTTTGACGCCCCAACCGCCGGCCACTTTGCGCAGTATCCTGGCCACCTCCTCGTCCATCCAGGGGAACTCCTCCAACTCGGGCAGGCGGTGGCACTTGGAGAAGATGTCCTCCGGGTCCTCCGGGAGGACCGTGTTGACCGTGTCCCAGCTGTTGTTCCTGCTGTTCATGGAGCCGGAGTAGTACCACCAGTTGCCCCGGTGAGGGGCGGTCATGAAGGCCTGGGAGTTGGACTTGGAGGAGGACAAGCTGAGGGATTTGCAGGAGTCCCCCGCTCCATAGCCAGAGTCCAGCGTCAGGTCCTCCAGGGTCTTCATGTGGAAATTGCTCAAACCGGCCATAACTGTGAAACTATTTCTGCAGGTGGGGGGGGGGGGGGGGGGGTGTTGGAGGAAGCGGGTTACCTGAAGTAAGTCAAGCAGCAGCCGAAACTCCCCGCGGAGCTGGACGAACTGGTTACGCAGCGGGACACTCGGCAGACATGCTGCGAAGCAGAGTTCAGACAAAAAGATATTTCGAGCAAAATGTCTCTTTCAAAAAACACCATATAGTGTCGTTGTCGGAGGGAATTAGAGCGGCACCCGTCTCACCTGTGCACGCGGACAGCGCAGGGATTTAACCAAACTTTCTTCCGCAAGTCCGTTAAAACGCGATTACGTGTCGCCTCGTTCTGTGACGACCGGAGCTCGTGAGTTAAAAAAAATGTGTGTGTCCCCCTTCCCTCTTTTTTTCAGCCGCTCAGCAAACATATAAAAAGGTTTTAGTTTCTTTAGGCAAAGGTTGAAAAGCCCGAGACTACCGCTCCTCTCTCCCGTCCCGGGTGCTCGGTCAGAACAGCGTCCCGCCGGAGACGCTCGGTTACAGATGTGAGTGGGGGCGGGGCCTGTGCTGAATGACAACGCGGAAGCAGCCGGCGCACCAATCAAGAGGGTACCGACTTCTGCAGGCAGCCAATCAAGACCCGATCTAAATCTTTCCTCAATTTGGGAGACTTAAGTAAACTTTGTTTGGCTTGAGGACAAGAGTCACACAAATTCCCTTAACAGACGTGCCTGTAGGCGCTTGACATGACACGACACATTAAATCCACATTAGTTATGATATGGAGGGATGGATATGGACATGGATTTGTCTGGTTGGTAAGCACACCGTACAGTCTCATGTTAACTCTTGGAGACGTGGCCTGCTGCCTGCACGTGAGGGTAATCTCCTACCTGCAGTATAAAACAGAAATCAAATCCTTAAAGTCTGTCGTAATAACGTAAGGGGTGGAGTAGTGTTGACTTTCATTCGTTTTTACACTAAAAGATTATTTTTGGTTTCAAGGAACTCAACTAAGAAACAATTTGTTTTGGCTCACATGCTTTGTACCCAGTCTTTTACTTTGTGTTCATTCAGTAACAATTTGGCAGACGTAAGGACCTAAAAGTGTCAGACTCTTGCTTTTAAAAACAAACCAAGAGCCAAACCTCTTACGAAACTTAAGTTTTCAACCCTGTTTGCTGTTTCTGGTAAGCTGCCGTAACACGCTTGAGAGGAAAATAAAGCAAACGTGTTGAAAAAGTACAATGACTCCCTGCATGTCATCACTCCACACTCGCACAGACAGGTAGGGCGTGCCTCCACTGGGACAGAGTCCAACATTATTCCATAATCAGTTTACAGCCCCAACCTGCATGCCAGTGAGACTGCAACACATTGTGAAAGTAACTGTAATTCATGTTTTCTTGAACATACACAGACCCCCGATGTTAGACGACATGGAGCATGTTCTTGGAAAAAGAGATCTACATTGTAGACCATATGAATCACTCAGTCAGGGAAACCGAGTAGGGAGTCAACCTTTCATTCCAGTTACATTACATTACATTACATTACAGGTCATTTAGCAGACGCTTTTATCCAAAGTGACTTACATTACACTTTTAAACCCATGGCTTTTTCACATTTTTGCCCGGGTTAGGTGTCTTGCTCAGGGACACTTCGACATGGAACATGGGGCAGCCTGGAATTGAACCAACAACCTTGTGCTTCCCAGCACACCTTCTCTAACCCCTGCGCCACGATGACAATCAAAAGCTCTTCTAAATGAGATCAGGGGTGTCAACAACTAAGTCTGCAGATAATTCCATTTGATGCAGAAAGCATTGGAGCTCTGCTGGAGTTCAACATATTAAGTTACGCAATGTTGGAATTCTCTCCGCATTGGTCTCAAAACAAGACGAATGTGATATTACATCAATGTGACTCGTAACTGGATGATGTCAGCCTCAGAGGAACAACAGTGAGGGTCGCAGAATGTTTTGGAAACAATGTTATGTTAACTTTGCATTTGCAGCTAGTGATAAAAGTCTACCAGGGTCCGTTTAAATGTCAGCAACATGTTTTTATCCTAACCCAGAATATACTTTCATTTATAGTTTAGAAAAATATCAAATAGTTGTACTGACAGGTCAGAGTATTTGAGCCACATTCAATTATTTAAAGATGTGAATTTTTTATATATCGTTTTGAAACCCAGTGAGTTTTGATAATAGTTAATAGTTAATAGTTTTTATGTGTTTAACCATGCAACCGCTGTTGGTCTACAGGTATGTGCTGTATGTTTATAAGTGGAGCACCACCGTGTGGTCAGATAAGGCATAGAGCTGTTTGAGGTGAGATCTTTCTCAAATGTAGAATATTAATAATAGAACAGAGAAAAAAATACACCTGAAAAATTACCCGGACGTAAACATAAACTTTTATTTGCAAAAAACCCCAACAAATAAAAATAAAAATTACAATACATTCTTAAAACCTTTTCTCTACAAAACAATTTCACAGAAATTACCTTGGAATGTAAATTCCTATTTTCCATTTTATGTTATGTTTCATAAATATATGTACACATATGTATATGTAATCTATACATATACATATATATATATATATACATATACATACATATATACATATACATACATATATATATATACATATATATTTAATGTGATTCTTTAAATAGTCCCATGTCAATGTTAAATGACGTACAGTAGACTCTTCCTGTAGAGGCAAAGAAAGGGTCTTGGAGGGCATTTTGACAATCATATAGTCAACAACAGATCATTAACTTTCCTCCATATGTGTGTCCAGCCTTGAGCCCTCAAGCCACTCTCCATCAATAGAAGTACCGTGTTGCATAAACAGAGGCATTAGGGGCCCGGCCTCCGGCCAAAACGAATGGGAGCAGGTGGGGTCCCGCTGAAGTGCAGCTGCCAGTGAGTCTCCATCACACCTCCGGATTTCACTCAGTAGTCAAGTACCATGTCCGCATATCTCACCAAAAGGGCAACTGGCTTGATAGACCCCTCCTTCCTGCTTCTAAGGTAATTCCACAAAAACACACCGACGCGTCTCTGTAATCCGCTGAAGAGAACCGTGTTTCCTTCTTTTAGAGTTTATCTGAATTTACAATGACATTACAGCCTGCTAATAAATAACCTCAATGATTCCCGTCTGTCTCTGCCCTCTTCTGTCATTAAAGTAGTTTAAAAACTGCCTGCAGCCAAACCCTGATAAAGGCACACATTTGTGAAACCACCATGCCTTGCCACCTTGTGTCCCAACACATGAACCGATCCCGCTTCTGTTTGAGCTTCACACAAGCTTTAAAGCAGAGTAAATGTAAATGTTTCTCCGTAGCTAAGCATCCCCCGTCTCTGTGCTATTTCTTTAACATGAGAAAAAGAAAGCGTGCGTGACAATGTGAAATGTAATGCCAAAAGCTGCCGCTGCTGTCCTCCTAATAAAGTTTTATGTTCCAGTGACAATGAGGTTAAAAACGTGGAGGGAATGAAGGATTCTGTCAGTGGAGTTGAAATGTGTAAACCGTTTACAAATTCAGTGTTTTAGAACAGGAAATAGCACCCCAAATGTTAGTGCGTCCAGACTCAGTGAGGACAAATACCGAAATAATAATAGCAGAAAATGATATTAATTATTAACAAAGTTAACGAAACTAAATTGAATAAATTGTATCCGATAGCTAGGTGTAGAACATAAAACGCAAATACACAAATTTGCATGACATTGAAACAGAAAGAGGGCTGCAATGAGTTGTAGATAAAAAAAGAATACGGAGGGATAAAGGGACAGAAATAGATATAAAGATGACAAATCTGTCATCATCCTTTTGAGGGGCTTTTCTGATCCACAACTTTTCTTTGTCAATATCAGGAGAATGCAGCACCGTGGTCATAATTCTATCCAACAGGTAGAGGTTGATGTATTTAGAAACTATTTTATCAAAGACACAGTTCGTCTACGACGGAAACCTACTCCACCGCGTCCGGATGTATTTGAGTAACAAGTCGACACACATTGTATTGGGCCCTCACGAGAGAGCGTGTTAGAAAAAAAGATCTTAGGTTGCCATCACATTGCCATCACACGTTAGAAAAAAGGTGCTTTCTGTCATCTTAAGCGCACACACAAGCGGCGACACACTCACATACAACTATATATATATATACATACATATATATACATACATACATATATATATATATATATATATATATATATATACATACATATATATATATACACACACACACACACACACACACAGAGCTATTTTCCAGTCTGTCTGAAAACATTGCACCAAAAAAAGGACAGAGAGAAGCAGAAGAACAATACTTCTCTCTGTACAGTAGTTCAGTCAGTGAGGCTGAAGTGACGACTCAGGTCGATCTGCGTAAACGGCCGGCTTTTAAAGTTCAGATTTAGACTCCTTGTTTCCTTGTGCGTTTACAAGTTTACAAGAGGAGCTGATGGAGAAGCAAAGGCATCCCTGAAAGGAGTTCAGGCAGTGAGCGAGCTCCCACGGGTTCCTCGCTCTCTCACACGTTGTGGATCTGCAGGTAGATTCAGAATCCTCACGCCAGAAGGGGGCACTATCCCTTCGGAGTTTTCTTATTCTGTGCATTCCACATGCCCCGTTTGGAGTGGTAGTAGTGGAAGAAGTTCCTCAAACGCAGTCTCTCTACCTCCAAACCGTTCTGCAGTACCCTGGAGGGGGGCGGGAGGGAAGAACGACGTGTTAAAACGTGGTTATTTCAACAAGACAGCATATAACTTTAACTTAATTGGTTTAACTTTAATTGAGTCTGATAAAAACAGTATCAATTTAACCGACATTTGGCTGCTTTTATGCCCAAATTCAGCATATAATTGCACCAACAATTAGTAGCAGCAGACATTCCTGACTGAGGGCTTGCAATATTCCTCGTGCTGATATTCCTGCCCTATCTACATCTAATATTTTGTCCCAACAGTAATATGCAGCCTGACACAATCTGGTACAATACAATGTCGACTGTACCAGTATTCAGTGCAGGCCTACTGTGTTGGCTTGTCGCTGGGTTACCTGTCCAGCAGCTCCCAGTCCTCTCCACCCCAGCGGTCTTTGAATTCCTCCGTGTTCATCCCTCCAATCTTCTCAAAATCAGACTTGTAGATTCCAAACAGGCCAAAGCCGTTCACCTCCCAGTAACCTGTGAAGAGAACAGAACGTTCTTTAATAGGAAACACTGGTACCGGTGCGCGCTGTTGTAAGTAACGTTTCTTCAGGGGACAGCGCTGTCTGAAACTAGGGAATGACTCGACGCGTGAACTACAAAAAACTTGAATATTCCTGGATGAGCGCTGACGTTTTGCCTACGTGCGTGTGCAGTGTTTGTGTTACCATCAGGCTCCTGTGGTGAGCTGCCGCAGCCGAGTCTCATGACGATGGGAGCGAAAGCGAGGCGTCCCTCCACGCAGTGCTTCCTGATGCTCTCCAAGATGTTGAGAGGGAAGTGGATGTGCAGATC